CTCCTCCAACTGAGGTACCCCCAAGTAGTATTTTATGCTTTCTATTTATTTATTTATTTATGTAACTATTATGGTGTCTTCTGGCCTGTCACATGACAAGCCTGGCTCTCTTCCTCCTTAATTTTGGGTGGTGCAGGATTATGCAAAAAGTCCCAAAAAAAAAAGTTATGATTATGAAAGTTATGATTGCAGATGAGCATTGCAGTCTGTGCTTTTTTTCTGTTAACAACCAATTGAGGAGATTTGAAAAACAAAGCTCATAGTTGGATTTTAGGTTTTCATTTGCACATTAAGAAAGGCACAAAGTTAGATTACACATATTAGAAATATGCTAAAAAAAATTACAATGCAAAATATGCCCAATTCAAAGAGTAGAAAAGAACAATTAAAGTAGAACTGAAGCCAAAACTTTTTTTTGTTTTGGATAGAGTAAGTGCAGGTTATAACTGTCAGCTTTTTTGACACCTGTATCCCACTGGGGAGATTTCCCTTATTTCCTGTCTGATAGACAGGAAGTGAGAAGAAATCCTTCCAAGATGAGGGAAATCGCTGGTGGCCATCAGGTTCAACAGAATGAGTGTCCCCATTGGAAGATTTCCCTTCTATTTCTATTCTGGTGACCTCTCAAAATTTGGTGTTTTTATGCACTTTTATTTTCAGTGATAACAGTCATCAGGATAAATAAAGAGGGTGAATCTTTCCACACAGACAGCAATGAAAGCCTGACATGTGTTTCAATCCTTTTCTACTATATCCAAACAAAGCTTCAGTTGCTCTTTTAGGTGAACCCCATTTCCGTTAAGTAAAAAAAAACAAAACACTGCTGTCTAGGTCAATCATTTAATTGAAATTATGTTAGCAAGATTTTGACATGCTTCTTTTCTTAGAATACGGAGAATAACATCTTCAGACTAACTGCTGGGTGGGAGAGCATGCCTGCAAAATCACATAATCAATGTTACTGTTATAAAACAAATTCCCCTATCTCTGTTCAGACTCTGTGTAAAACAGTGAGCTTATCACATGGCAAATAATTAGATTTGTAGGGCTGTTCTGTACACAAAGAGAACACTGCTTGTTGGCCTCAAAGCCAGTGTAATCTGATTTTTTGCTTTAGTTGTAGATCTGTAAATGTATTGTGTAAAAACTGTTTTTACACTCACCACTACAAATAGATATGGCAAATGAATGAATCAGCCAAAATTCTTTTTTTTATAAACAGTTTCTGGAAACAACACAAAACACACGAGGGGTACCATACATAGTAGTTCAGTAGGCCTGCATCAATTGAAAAGAAGTGAAGGCATTTTATAACATAAAACAAATGGGAAAACCGACAAAGAGCACATAAATCTGTTAAATCTCTTAAGCTCCAAATACTTTAAAAATGCACCTACACGAAGGGAAAGTTAAGAATTGACTCATTTTTATGTCACAGTGGGCGCATAGTAAGTGAAAGGACTGATGACAAAGTGTTCAGTGTTCAAATTAAATTCCCATTTCCCTTTAATTTGATCTTAAACATTTTTCATTCCCTTCTGGTTTATTCACTTTGCCTCTGCAGCAATTTCCTAATTTTTGGCACATATTAAAATCTGCATTTTTATCTAGAAAATCACTTACAACCCCCAAAACATTATATATTTTCTGAAAGTAGAGGAGCTTTAAAATAAAAATATAGTAGTTGCAAATGTTTATGTTGCACGGTATTTGTGCAACTATTAAATCTATATCTTCAATTAAAATACAGTAAATAAAATTTCGCTCACACAACACACATAATGTGCTTAATCCACTGTTACTACCCAGCATTTTGACTGCTCTGAATCCAGAAATGCAGAATTGGTTGAGTGCTTTGGGGTTCGTACTCTGCAAAACACATTTTAATGAATTTAGAAATTGAGAATTCAGTGCAACTTTCCCAAGGGATCATTCACAAAACATTAAAGAATATGTGTGGCAATCATAAGCACTTTTTATATATTTTTAGAATTACAAATTTGTACAGTTTAAAAAATCAGAAAAATAAACCATTTCAGTTAATCATGAATGTAAATACAATTGAAATTAAAATAGCTCTAAGTCCTAACTGGGTAACATTTAATTTGATAAAGCATAGACATTGCCATGATTTAGCCATAAAAAGCTTTGTTTTCACTCTTTTTGCAATTCAATGCTGCTGGCATCCTCCAGCCTCTTTGCCACTTTTTGTTGACATGCACTTGCTCTAGTACTGGCTCCACGTCATTGCTATAGACTGGCTTGCTGATTAGGAATGAGGTTCTAGTTTTCCACTGTTATGGGTTCAAAGTCAATCCTGTGGGTTTGGGATGCATGGTCCTGGTAAATTTATTTGCAGCTTTGCCCAGGAGAATCCTAGTGCACTACAATGCCTTCAAACTATGGCCAGCAAATATAGGCCCATTTCACACGAGCTGATCAGGAGAGGATCCGTGCATGGATCCTCTCCTGATCACAGCAGTATGGATCGGATGTCACTGCTGTGCCATCCGTGTCTGTACAGTTTTTCCCTACATCTTGCGATGGAGAAAAAAAATTACAGGACCCCATGTTGGACATGTGTCCCTTTACATTAGATTTCCCGTGATCCAGCACGATCCGGTCCAGCAAAACTGTCAGCACCTGTTAGAATATCCGATCAGAGCGGGCAGCTCATTGGCTGTTGGCTTTGGTCGATTGGAAATTTTCCAGCTGGCTTCTTCGATCAGCTGATCGAGGAATGCCAGCTGAAAGGGAGCCAGCACATTAAAAATCGTCTGAAATTCAACCAGTGTATGGACACCTTAAGAATGTTTGTTTTTGCCTCCGTTCGCACAAAATGAACATTCACAGAGATTCAAGTGATAAATGTGAATTGTTTATAAACACACACCTATGTTTTATACTTTGCATGTATCAGTAGACATTTGTCAAGATTTCCTTTAGCACTTCGTATGTTGAAGCAATAAAATAATGGAGCGAGTTATCTATTCTCTTTGAACAACAAGGTGGAGAAAAGCATCCCCATTGATGCACATCTGCGGAAGGTTTCTCTGCCCTTATAGTGCTTTTAAGTATAATAAATAATTTTGTTTATTCTTGGTGCCCTATTAAATTAACAGATTGAGATAGTGTGAAATGGAAATCCCCAATTAAAAATACATTTGTAAAAGGCTGCAATGCCTTTAGGAGTCCTTCTTTAGTAGTACTGTATAAACTATTCTGTATATTCTTGGTGCATCAGTTAGTAAAAAGATTGGGAGAGTTTTCCATAGTTGTCTTGAAAGTTGCACCTTTCAAGTACTTTGTTTTATTTTGTATTGTCATGCCAATAATGGTATTTCTCAATGGCATTGAGAAAAAAAATTGTTTAAGTAATGGGTCATTTGTGGGTTACTTATATTTTGAAGATAAATATCAGTAAGAAGCAAAGCTAAAATGGCTGAGAATCTCAACTCTTATACAGTATGTTATGATACTAGAGATAACTTTAAAAGTTCAATAGATACATAAAAATCGGTAGGTTGTGTGTGAATTGTGTGTTCCTGGATTCCTGTTATTTCTGACTGAAATCAGTGGTAAGCACCTCACAAGCTTTGTTTCTACTGTATGACCTGTACATACTGGAGGTCTGAATGAAAAATAATATATAGCTAATAAATTGATCCAATATTATCTCCAGTTAAATGGCTAAATACACAGTTCACAACATGGCAATTGTGTTACCTCCAAAGCAAATTGTAGTTTTGGTTGGGGACCCTTTTTTTCTTCAGTCAAATACAAAACTAAAATACATATACACCGAATATATATTTTTAATGTTTTATCAGCCAAAGTATTTGTAATCCTCAAGTCATCAACATCTTCCCTGGAAAGAGACAATGATAATGATTTGTTGTTTACTGAGCAGGCCAGAGGCAAAGCTGTAAAGCTCAACTAGGAAATAGGTGTGTCACCTGTCTGGTGTTGCAAAGGAATGCTTTGGGCCTGGCTCATAACACTGGCTATACAATTAAAAATCCACACATATATAGGTCTTTCAGTTGTGTATTTAGCTGTTTTTGGTTGAGGTCCCACATACAGCTTAATCGCTGACCTGCCCTCAGCCTGTTAATTGGACACTGAGAAAGCATTAGCAGACCAAGAAAGTCATCAATCTGCTCACTCCATTCTCTAAGTAGGCTGCCAGTGTTAGAATGACAGCATTGTACAAATTAGTATAGCTTAAATTACTTATAATGATGGCCTCTTTTAGACTACAGTGTGTTGTAAATAACGGAAAGCTAATATTAATATAGATTTAAAGAGCTTATAGTAGCTGCATTTAAATTTCATGAAATGATTTTTGATGATACAATGGCAATTTCACATATTTACCTGGTAGTTTTCAAATATATAATTATCTAATGTTTGTGGCTTTACAGTAGCTATGCGCATGTCTCAGTACAGTAAACTGTATATTGATGTATATTTGTACATGTTAATCTTATTATTATTATATTTGAGTTATATTGTTACAAGTAGTATCAAATGTTTATTAATAGTCTTTTATTTTTAAATGGTATTATGTAAAGCAGCAACACACTACACAGCACAGTGCATCAATGAAATATTTTTTGCAAAACTAAAATAAAAAAAGTGTATATAAATATGACACATAAGAAGTAGATGGTCTTGCTAACCATATTCAAAAACCAGTTGGCTATGGGGATGTAAGTTATCAAGTCTCTTTCGTGGTGTTCTTTTGGGGGTTTTTTTGTGGTAAAATTGTTAAAAGTTTTAAAATGTTGTGATTTTCTATATCTATAAGTTTTCTCACATGTTTATGAAAAAAACAGATTGTGCTATCATGAGCGCTTGTGAAAAGCAATGAATGAATAATGATCGCATTACAGTGACTTGAGTGATCCCAGGTTTAGGAAAAAAGAATGTAATTTAGAATGCTAGACAGTATAAATCATAAGAAAGCATTTATTCAATTGTATATTTTCTCTTTACAGGACTATACTCTGACCATGTATTTTCAGCAGTACTGGAGAGACAAGAGATTAGCCTATACCGGAATTCCTCTTAACCTCACTCTTGACAACCGAGTGGCAGACCAGCTGTGGGTTCCTGACACGTATTTTCTAAATGACAAAAAGTCATTTGTACATGGAGTGACAGTAAAAAACCGCATGATCCGTCTCCATCCAGATGGGACAGTTTTATACGGCTTAAGGTGAGCGAATTATTGAACATTTTACATGTATCCATTACCTTTCCTTATATATAAATATATTTATTTTACTATGATGGTAATTCTTGCTTATTAATGCTTGTCAGGTATGGGAATATTTTAGGTGTTTTAAAGAGAATGTGCTAACGTAATGACCTAATCTCCACTGAATAGTTATAACAGTGCTGACTTATAATTAAGCAGAACTAAAGCCCACAGGACTCCCTTCTAGTGATGTGATAGCTACACGTTTCTCTAATAGCATTGACATCTTTGCCTGGTCTTTTTCTTAGGTCGGTGTCTTTGGCCATCTTGATTATCTGGCCCAGAATGTCATAACTCTCACACATGCACAGTTAATTTATTTCTACACAAAGGCATGCCAAAATTGTACACTGAGCTGTATAATCTTGGCATGTAGATTCAATGTACAACCTAAAGACGTTTGCAGTCAGAGTCTAATATGCTCACACATGGATGAAAGGGATAGAGGTCACTCTTTCTATATGCCAAATAAAAATCTGAGAAATTTTCTGATCTGTAGTCAGTCTGATGGATAGACTTTCCATTAAAATAAAAGGCAGATAAATTAACTTCTTAAGATTTTTGCAAGGGATGGAAGGCTGCAGAGTGAAGATCTCCAGACAGATGACTGTAGGTAAGTATGTGCACTAAAAATGCACTTTAAACAATAAGGGGCTGATTTACTGTATAAACTATATATAGGAAATACCAATGCTACTCTACCTCCATCTAGTGACTATAATGTCATGTGAATGGCATTCGCCCAGCTATATGCTGAGCAAACTAGTTATAAATAGACCCCTTAGTGTATGTTTATATAAAGAATAATCAGAGGTGAGGCAGGTAATAGGGCCGTTGCCTTGCCGCCAGATCCTCAATGGTAGTGTAGGGGGTGGGAATTATACTAACAGTGCACTTATGCTTGTTATGCTTTTTATGCTTTTGTTTTAGAAGTGACAATTCCCTTTTACTCTCTTCTGTATGACTTCAGTTCACTTGAGTGTGTTATTTTCTTAATGTTTCATTGTGACCCTGCTGGAGACAACTGTTTACATCTGCTGTCCACACTAAGGTGGGCAGCTATTAGGGGCTATTAGAATTACTTTGTGTTTAACCTCTTGAAAGCCCATAAAGTCACCCAGTAACTATACTGCTCTTGCATTAACCATCTAAATGCATAGCTCAAGCTGTTCTTTTCTGTGTGATGTGAATCACATCAAAGTGCTGAAGCTTTTTAAATAACTGATAGTTCTAAAGCTGCTGGTAACCTTTGTACATTTCCATTATTTTCTGAAAAGTCTATTGAAAAGACATTTGAACTGACAGTATATTAATGCTGCTTAGTTCACTACTAAAACAATATCAAGGTAGCATCTTGTTCTTAAAAATTTATCTTTCAGTTGTCAGGGAACATTGCTTGCTTGGTATTGTGTTATGTTTATCATTACCCTTGTCAAAAATCATTATTTGTCCCGAACAACTATTGTTTATATGCATGAATCAGCACTTTCAAACATAACACTTAGCATTACACACTTTATTCCGATGCTTTGATTTACCAGGCCTGTTCATATCCTTATTTCTTCTTGGGTTTCTCAGGTTAGGAGACACCTACTTCCAGCAGGCACAGTGGTTGAATTAAAACATGATAAATTAAGATTTTAGTAACCTCAGATCCCTATATGTGTATATCCTTATTCAGCCTTTTTTTTTAGAAAAAATACACTTTTATTTTTTGAGCATTAGGAGTTGCATATATATAGCATAAAACAATTTCATAGCGTACAATGACTGAAAAAGAGATCAAACAAAAAAAGCGCACCACCTAGCGCATTATCTTGTGGGAAAAAAGGTTAAGTAGACTATAAAAATGCACTCATGTTGTTGTGAATAAAATATGCAGTAAAAGCAAGCAAAAGTCCTAAATCTTCACTGGTAACTCAAGTAGGTATATAAATCGCCCTCCAATCAGAAGTGCAGGAGAGGTATTACCTTGGTAGGGGAGTGTAAAACAAAGAGAAATGACAAGGACTTCTGATCATGCGTAAAGCTAACATAAACTTGTATTAACAAGGTATGTATAAAATTCACTTACATAGTGTAGGAAAAAAGTCACATGTAGAGAGATTGAATAGTCCGAGGTCGCAATAGACTTATACAGTCCTGGAGCTGACAATGAAGGTTCATGTTTTTTTTCCGTAGAATACTGTGTTCAAATTTTTTCATCTTTTTTTTGGATCTTAGTGCTGCTGGTCTCTTCTCTATGTTTTTTTTTAAATGTCTGCATTTAAACATGCCTGCCCATTGAGCATTAGCAAGCGCATGTAACCAGGTAACAATGCCGGTGAGAAACTGGGAGACAGGGACAGAGCACTGTCACCCTATAACAGGAAGTACCTGAAAAAACTTAATGGCAAGATAACCATGTATTTGTTTATGGAAAGCTGCAGGTTTAGGCAAGATTAAAAAATACTTTTGCAATGCCATGAACATGTTTTTAGATTTTTTTAGACTTCAGTGATTGAGTTCCTGTTAATTGGCCTTGGAGTAAGGGCAGGTTCTTTTCTAACATCAAAAAATGCCACCTCTAAACTGTTGCAATCACTAAAAACAGTTATTTAGCAAGACAGACATTCTTATGTTTGTATTGATGGCACAGCTTAGGTAAATAAGAAAAAGAGAAGGGAAATATCTTATTACATTCTGGAAAAATTAAATAGTATTCTAAATGGTTATATAGCTAAGTTTATAAACATGTCTATTGAGTTAACCTAAAAATAACATCTTTCAGCCTAATAGATCTAAACTTCATTCTGCAGTGTTTTTTTATTCGAGATATTATTAAGTCATTTATATTTTATTCATTATAAGCACACCCAGCCAAATTGTCACTGCAGGATAATGAATGATTCCACAGGTTCTTATATCAATAATGACAGTAGGTGCACAAAATTGGATTTACACTAGGTTGCCAGCAAACATGTTCAAGTGCAAATTCACACAATTCAGCCTAGTCATCTCTATTCAAATGCCCTTAAGGAATTATTGCTTTTCCTCCATGCAAAAGAAAGTAATCTATTATTTCAACACAAGGAAGAAAAAAACATGGAAGATAAGGTAGTGGAACTGCCCAGCTTTAGATGTCAGTCCTCTCGATTCCCAGGTTTCATGTCATAATGCAAGCATGTGTTATAAATGATTCCACACTTCATTATGGTAAACATCATAGTGGGTTTTTTTTCATACATATTTATCATACTAGTAAACAAGAAAAGAGCAAGCTTCATCATATATTCACTGTGTCACAACTGACTGACACAAGAGATATACAATCACACATGGGATTCCAAAGAGCTGACAGAAACCTATGTTCAAAAGGTTAACATTTGGCTGAGGTTCATTACTCTTTCGTTGAATTTTAATTGCTCTGGGACTCCCCACTAACTGTTTTCAATATGCAGTGAAATGTATCATGTTCCCATTGTTACCTGCCTTAAGACTTAGGGGTCTATTCACAAAGCTGCCGAGGGCAGCCGAGTGAATGAAGTATTTGTCTCTTCACTTAATTCTGTTATCATTTCAAGCACATCTGTATCTCACCTATAAACAAGTCTGTGTTTTCCTGATGTTGTCAAGAAGGAATGGATATGTTAAAGAGATAACTGAATCTTTCAGTGTTAGTAGGTGGTCTATGGATATATGATCTAATGGAGCTACCGCAACAGTGGCAGCTAGAACTTGACTGTGATAATACTAGACATAGAATACATTATAATATTTATAGATTTATTGCCACATTTTACAGCTATGTGGACATCTAGCGGCAGAAAAAAACAATTACGGGGAAAATGTTGTTTTATCTCTTTGATGTGCTATTTGTTTTACCTAGTAATGTTTTGGGCTAGCGTTCTAATATAAATGTTAAGCTAAAATGTTTATTTGTAGTTTTAGATTAAGAAGGAAATAATTTTTTTTGCCACAAATATTTTTATTTGTATTAAACAAAAGGAGATATGTCACATATTAACAGTAAGAAAACAAAAGTGGAACAGACATTTCAAGAGAATAAATAACAATGTAAGAAACACTGAACCATAGTATTAAAATGAAGAAAAAGGAAAATCAGAAACGTCCCTAAAAGATGCACAAATAATATTATCAATAAACGGCGAGTAATTGAATTCAACACGGAATAGATAGTGAGGATTATAATATGGAGAGAAATCTATCCCCATATGAGTTAAAACAACTCTCCACTAAAAGGTCAAAGACGGTGTACATGGTGGGGAAGAGAGATACAAGAGAGAAGCTTGGGGAGTGAAGAGTGACATATGCAGACCGGCAAAGAAAAAGAGCAAAAGGAGAAGGAAAAAAAAAAAGAGAAGAGAAGAGGGGGAACAGGATTGGGGAGTGTAGATAGCGGAAAAGACAGGGAAAGGACCGAGGGGTAAGGAAGAAATAAGGTAGTAAAGGGGAGAGGGCCAGCTGGTTGCACGGGTGGTCCACCTCTGGACTTCATGTCACCTTTGGAGAGATGAAGGGAGGAGAAAGAGGGGGGAAAAAGGGAGAGGGAGGGGAAGGAGGAGAGGTCAGCGGGGGGGAGGGAGAGAGGGACAGGAGGGGTGACATCCTTCAGTATAGCTATAGGCAAGTGACAGACTGAGGGTCCTGGGTTCTTGTAACAATGAGAAAAACCCCTACACCATTAGGGCAGCGTATGCATTAGAGTCTTTAAACAAATGCCATCTTCTCCAAATGGGAAAAAAGCGGGTCAAAAAATGGACAAACGAAATGGCTTGTTCGCCAGTCCACAGCAGCAAACCTCTGGCTGTGCAGGAAGTCATTTATTAATGACAGTATTACTACTTCCATTAATGAATGACAGCTTCCTACTCAGGGCTGGGATAAGCAGAATAGTGTTTGCTCGACCATATTTGTTCAATGATGTCAGCCAGCATCCCAGGCCCCTTTGTTTGCAT